AGAATAGAACCACTCCATAGGGTTTTCATGGCAATAGCCTTTTGCAAAGCAGATCACCAGGGCTTTCTTACAAGCTGCATCCAGTCCTAATTTCTCTTTCATTCCAAACCAAACCAAACTCACTGCCGTCGAACATTTACTTGGGAACACTTGTAGTCATTCTTCACCTGAGTCCTGTGAGCAGTAGGTTGGTGGCATTCTTGATTTTCTTCTTTCTACAATGAGTATCAGGAGCTCTGGTAGCATAGTGCCTAAGGCACTTGACTGCTAACCAGAAGGCACATGGTTCAAACCCAGCAGCCACTCCTCAGAAGGAAGGTTAGGCAATCTGCCATAGTGATACTGCCTCGGAAACCCAAGGAGGGGTCACTAAGAGTCAACGGCAAATAACAACAACAACGAGAATGGACTAACACTCATACAAACAGAATTGTTTTTAATTGTCATCGTTTTTTATTTATTTATTTATTTATTTGTCAGTGAGCAGACTAGCAATCTTATCTTAGTTACATGGGGCAGAGATCTGGGCTGAGGCTGTGTCACCCTGGACTAGGGCGTTTTGCAGCCACCTCCAGCTCCGTGACACCTTGGTGACAGCTGGGACATTGAGATGCTTGAGAGGAACTTGAGAGACACAGAGAGGAAGAAGTCTTAGATCAGGGATAAAACAAACGAAATGTTCCTTGTTTTTAATTTTTAAATGTCACTCTGGTTCTTGGTAAGTTCAAAAGAGGTAGAATAAACTTTCCAGTAATGTGTTCTCACATCAGCCCCACCTTTTTTCCAAACAGGGACAGTGTTTCATAAACTATAGGAAAAGCACTTCAAGATGAGCCTGCTACCCCTCTGTTCTAAGTGCAATTAGTGATTGATTTCTGAACATTTCACATGCCAGAATCTTTTCTCTCTACTGACCTTTATGACCACTAGTTTTGTAACTGCCTTGCAGAGATTTAGGAAGAAATTTATAAATCTCTGCAAAGCTCCTTGGAGTGAGTCTTATGTGGATATGGTCCAGTAACTTCATATTTTACTTACAAAGAAATATTTGTTTCCAGCAAAATGGTTGGAACTCACTGCCCTTTTGTGTTTTATTTAAGATAGCGATCAAATGAAATATAATGGTAAATTCCAGGGCACAGACAGAAGTAGCCATATTACTTGCCAAAAGCACTTACAGGATTAATGCTGTATTTCTCTTATAGGCAAATTCAAATGCTGAGAACCCCAAGCTGATATCAGCAATGCTGTGTGCTGCTCTGTATCCAAATGTAGTGCAGGTAACAGAAGATTTTTCGTGGGTCCTCCCACTTCTTGTTGACTCATGGCCAAGGGATATAAGTTAAGACTTGCATATTAATCATCTGAAAGAGATACACACACACAGGCATGCTTTTTAAGGATGTTACCTTATAGCAGCTCCTTAGTGCACATTTCCAGTCCTACCAGTCAGATATATTATTCAGTAACACATTTATTATATAAAATGAAATGCCTTTTAATCCTGGCACTTTATGACATTCTAGAAATTAAGATGGACAGAAATGTCACTCTGTCAGCCAACCTGTGCATAACTAACGTTCTGTGTTAGAAATAAGTTTGATTCTACTATAATTTCACATTTCTCCATATTCCCTCTACTCTGGACTAAAGTTAGATACAAACTTATGACACGAATCAGTATTGTGGCCATCCTCTGGAGATCTTAACCTGAGTATACTCTTGAAGTTTTACCTAAGTTTTGATTATCCAGTCCTAACAAGGACTGTTTCAAACTCAGAAAGAATTTGAATTTGACAGAGTACTAAATCATTTATCAAGGCCTTAACTTTTTGTTAAATTCTCACTTACCATCTGCTGCTTAAATTATGGTTCATTTTCGGCATAGCACTTGTGTGCTTTTGAAATTTACCTTAAATCATTTGATTTGCTGGTTTTGATATTATACTACAGTTTTGTAAGGTGTTACCATTGGGGGGAAGCTGAATGAAAGGCAAAGGGACTGTATATTTTTGTAACTTCCTGTAAGTCTATAATTGTTTCAAAATAAAAAATTTGGGGGAAAAATAAAGAATTCCAAGAAAAATACATTTGGAGACTTAAAATGTAGGAATGAAAATAATACATGTGGTATAAAAAATTTTAAGTGAATAATAATATAATTTTGACACTAAACCAAAAGTGATAGTTCTGGCTATGCATTTAATAACTCTCATAAAGGAGCTCTGGTGGCACAGTGCCTAAGGCATTTGACTGCTGAAGGTTGGCAGTTCAAACACACCAGCCACTCCATGGAAGGAAGACTGGCAATCTACTTCCATAAAGATTTACCACCTCGGCATCCCAAAGGGGGTTGCTATGAGTCAGAATCGACTCGATGGCAGTGATAAATAGACATGATGGAATGGGCAGTACACGCATACAAATTAATGTGCTGTGTTACTAGGATGAAAAAATGCAAGTTAAAACAACCAAGAAATACCTCTTTTTACTTTCCAAAAAAGCAAAATAAAATTTATTTAATTTTTCTGTCATGAGCCTCAAAAAATAACTCTCCCTCTTGGTGGGGATATTAATTAATATGCCCTTTCTAGATAGCAGTTTCATTTCTAGGGATTTCTTACTAAGAAATAACCACATAGAAGAATGTTGAGCACTGTTTATAATTGTAGATAATCTAAATTTCCAGCAATAGGGAATTTATTGGTTAAATAATTATAGATCCTTACAAGGTAACAGTCATCGAGAATTATGCTGTAGGAAAATATTTAACAACATGGAAAGATGGTATCAGAAAAGTAGTTTATTAAAAAGAATGATCCTATTTTAGTATGTGTTCTGGTTACCTCGTGCTGCTCTGACAGGAATATACCACAAATGGTATGTCTTTAACAAGCAGGTGTTTATTCTCTTACAATTTGGAGGCTTTAAGTCCAAGTTCAAAGTGCCAGGCTCTAGGGGCTGGGTGAAAGCCCCTCAACCTTGGGATCCAGCTCTGCCTCCTGCTCCTAGCCGACTGGAGCTAGAGATGTTTCTTAACTCCGTCAGCTGCTGGCTGCTGAGGCTGCCAAGCCCAAGGTTGACAAATAAAATGGCACAGTCCCACTGTTACCAAACCACACAGCAGGCCATTAATTTAAGTCCATTGTAAGTCCCAAGGTCGGCAAAGCATGGCAGGCTGCTGAAACAATGACCCAGCTACATGCAGGGTCCAAGCGTACCATAGGCTAGAGACCATTCCCAAATATATACGGGAAACTCCTTATATACAGGAAACAGATCACATCCCAAAGGCAGCTACTCAGCTGCTTGAGGTATATCCCACCATGGAGTTGATTGCCAGTCTCATCATGGGGAATAACTACCACCAGCTTCCCAGCCATTCAACTAGGCCCAGCCAAGTTGACATACAAATTTAACTACCACAGTGTCAATATATAGGTAAATTTTTACAGTATATGTTTATGGCTATCTCTCTATATATAAACAAATATCTAGCAAAGAAACTAAAATGATAGGAATCAAATGTTAATACCAGTTATTTCTTAATTATGAGATTACATTGATGTTCTATTCTTTATTTCTAATACATATTTTCCACAGTAAACATGTTCATTGTGTTTGAAAAATATAATTCTTATATACATGGAAGCTTTTATGTTTTCAAGTGGAATCATCTGTTTATTCATAGAATTGTATTATTGTGTTTTGAAAAAAATGTATTTGGTATTATTGGATTGAGATTGACATTGAGAGTCAGCAGACTCCTGGTCTAGCATTGCCAATTGGAGCTCTGTACCTGGTAATCGGTGCAGACCCACAATAGCAATGTAATTTCTCCTCCACATGGCTGGTGTACAGCCTAGTCACCCAGAGCTGCTGCACCTACATCCACACTTCTGAGTGATAAAAATAAAAGATGTGTGTGTGTACTGTTTTCAGAAGGAACAAAGTAAGCGAGAAAAGGGAAAAACAGCAATGCCCTTCAAAGAAGACTGATTTTATACTGACAATGAAAATATATATCTATTTTTTTTCAAATACCTATTGTGTAGGTGAAAAGCCCCGAAGGGAAATTTCAGAAGACCAGTATTGGAGCTGTCAGAATGAAACCAAAATCAGAGGAATTGAAGTTTGTCACTAAGAACGATGGATATGTACACATTCACCCTTCCTCAGTGAACTATCAGGTCAGAATGGTGATGTGTCTTTATGTTTACATATGGCAGGCTTGGGTACCTTAAATTCAGCCAAACTCTATTCTATTACTTGCTCTCCCCAGCAGCACAGTTGCCTTGGGGAAGATTGAATAAATGACTAGACATTGGACTATTTCTGAAAAGACTGTTTCTGTTTCAAGAAAATTCTACTGAGTGCAAAATAATGCTCAAGCCTCCCTTCAGCTGCAAAGCACTTCTTTTTAATGGCAGTTTAAGAAGTCATGATGTTACTGCTTTGCTGTATCTGTGCCCTCATATGAAATGGCTAAAATAGGCAAATGCATAGAGACCAGGGTTTATTAGTGGATTCCAGGGGCAGGGGAGAGGGAGAGTCGTTGTTTAGAATGCAGTCTATGATTATGATTATGGAAATTTGGCAACAGATAGGATAGTAATGATAGTTGTACAACATGGTTAACGTAACTCATGTTACTAAATTGTACACATGCAAAATATTACCTTGAAAAACGTTGTATTATATAGTTTCATAGCCAAAAAAAAGTGGAGGGGCAATAATGACCTATACCTGCAGATCCCCCTTCCCCAGTTTTCATTCTTCCTTCAGCCTACTGCTGTGATGCTTCTGTCCCCATTGTCCACTAAACCGATCAAAGGTCATGAGTCACCTCCTAGTGATCACATCTGTGATTATTTCCCTGTGGTGTTTGACACAACTGATGTCCCTTTCTTTTGAAACTGTTTCTGATGTTCCTTTTGCTTCTGAAATAGCACTTTCTTCTGTTACATCTCTGATCATCCTCTCTGATCATGTCCTTTGCTAGCTTCTCTTCCTTTGCCCTGAAGTAGTGGTTCTGTCCCTCACCCTTATTTTCTCCCTGTAATGTACATACACTTCTGGAACTACCAAATGCACAACATCGTGGTTCCAACTGCCACCTATACACTGTAAACAAAACAAAAGCCTACTGCCATTGAGTCAGTTCCAACTCATAGTGACCCCCACTGGATTTCCAGGGAGGTAAATCTTTACAGAAGTAGATTGCCCCGGACTTCTGGTAAGATGGAGGAATAAGCAGACAGGCAACATAGACCTTCTTCCACAAAGAAAAGAAAAGCCAGTTGACAGAGATACAGAAGATAATCTTAGACCCTTGAGCTTTGAAAGTAACTATTCAGAAGTAGATTAGGCACTAACTAGTGGAAAAACCTGAATAAAAATAGTGAGTGCAGAGATGGTCGGACCTGCGGACTGTCAGCTACTCTGATGGGACCAACCAGCTTGAATATTTCCAAGTGGTGTTGGGATCTGAGAATTGACCTAAAGATCAGCCCTGGTCACCAGGGCTGCAGGGATGACTGCGCTGGTGACCTGTGACTAGAAAGAGAAACAGCAAGGAGGGAGACGACCTGAGCTGTTGACTTTTCCACTGTCCGGAGGGCACAGCCATTTTGATTATTTACACGTGGCAGCTATTTTGGATATTTAAAGTGACCGATGGAGCAGCCATATTGGATATTTAAAGTGACTGAGGGTGCAGCCATTTTGAATGTTTACAAGTGGTAACCATTTTGGATTTTAAAGTGACAGCATACTCATTCGGATTCCAGGGACCTAAGAATAGGCTCTGTTTGTCAAGGTCAGCAGGCTCATACGAGAGGCTGACAATGGGAAAGGAGACAGGTGCTGAGTGTGTAAGTGCTGTCAACTAAATGAATAGAGGAGCAGGGTACAGCATAGTACCCTGCTGGCATGGATAACATACAAACAAAACAAAGAAGCAAAAATAGTGGGCAAGCCACTCCAACATACCAAAGAAGCAAGATAAAGCAGGAGAAACAAGGGACCAGGATGCAGACCCAAAACACATCCCTGAGGAAGATACAGCATTGGAACTCCCTGATAAGGAATTCAAAAGAATTATATTTAGGTATCTTCAACAAATTGAGAGACAGATCAAGGAGAACACAGAGAAAACCCTAGAACAATTTCAAAAGACAAAACAGGAACAAAATGACAAAATAAATGAAAAATTAGAAATGATACAAAGTTGCAGTGTAGTAAATTACTTGGTATGGCTTTTCTACCCATAAGTCATTGTAAACTCAGTGGTATAATGAGCAACTGAGGAGCTCCTGATTGTAAATGTTATCCACCTGGGTTATTTCTGTTGGGCGTGGCACAACACAATGTTATGGGAGGTTCACTCTCAGGTGCTTAGAATTCTGTTGTTATGATTGGTTGGTTTGGCCACTCTGCCAAGCTCAAAAGGAGGCCTCCTAGAGGCAGAACTCTCTCTGACTGCTGGTTGAGGAAGACGTGCTGCTGAAAGAGACATGCGCTACTGAAAGAGACACGTGCTTCTGGGAAAGAGATGCAAGAGACACGCATTGCTGAGTAAGACACTGAGGGACATGCACTGCTGGGGGAGAGACTGTGAGAGATTTGGCTGAGAGACAGTGGGCTGGGAGAGAGACTGAGCATTTTTCCTGAACTTGAATTGTAGCCTGGTGCTTCCTTAATAAACCCCATAATCTGTGAGTTCTTTGTGGCCACTGCAGCAAATTATCGAACCCAGGAGAGAGGTGGTGGTGCTTTGGGAGGAACAGTTGGTGAAAGGGCTCGAGGGAGGCAGCATGTCTGGCCTTGCAGTAATAGGCCTTGGGCTATTGATGGTGATTCTGCCTTCCTCTTGTGGGATTAGAGGAAGTCAGAACATGTGGCCTCCTTGCCCTTTTTGCAAAAGTCTATACACAGAAATCCAAAAGATTAATACTAAATTTTCAGAAGTAGATAAGATATTGAATGGGCAAAGGAGCAGAATTGAATCAATGGAAGACAGAATTCAGGAGATTGAAGGCAAATACCTGAACACGTCTTTGGAAAGGGATAAATCAGAAAAAAGATTAAAACAAAATGAAGAAAGCCTAAGCTTCATGTGGGATACCATCAAAAGAAATAACCTATGTGTAATCAGAATTCCAGAATAGAAGGAGACCGATAAAACCACAGAGAAAATTGTTGATTTGTTGGAAGAGAATTTTCCTGGTATTATGAAAGATGAGAATATATCCATCCAAGAAGTCTAGCGAACCCCAAACAGGATAGACCCCAAAAGAAAATCACCCAGACATATCATCATCAAACTTACCAAACCAAGGACAAGAAAGAATCATGAGAGCAGCAAGGGAAAAACAAAAAGTTACCTACAAGGGGCAACCAATTAGACTAAGCTCAGATTTCTTGACAGAAACCATACAAATGAGAAGACAATGGGACAGTATATATAAAACACTGAAAGAGAAAAATTCCAACCAAGAATTAGGTACCCAGCAAAACTGTCCCTCAAATATGATGGTGAAATTAGAACATTTCCAGATCAGCAGAAGTTAAGAGAATTTGTTAAAACCAGACCAGCCTTACAAGAGATGCTAATGGGAGCCCTTTGGACAGAGAAGCAACAACAGACAACAACAACTGAACATTAACACATATGATGATATAACCCAGAAACCAACCCAGCTATGGAAGTATCCAAAGTAAATAAGCCTACAAGATTGTAAACAGGGAACCAGAGACATCAATTGACAAATGAGGACAACTACAAACCAAAAAGGGAAAAAACTGTGTCATTACAGAACTTCTAGATGGTAGAGAAATCAAGACAACTACAAGATAGAACAGACTGTTCTAAACTTGGAAAGAAAACTATAAATCATAGGGTAACCTCAAAGAAAAATGATAAACCTTCACATCAAAAAAGAGGACCAGCATAAATACTCAGCAAATACTAAAACAATAGCAATGAAGGAAGCGATAAAACGATTCATAAACAAAATGAGCTCAGCATAGAAAATTATATGGAACAAAGAAATCAACACCACAAAAAGCACATAATAAAAATGACAGCAACAAATTCGTATTTGCCAATAATTACGTAACTGGCAAGGGACTTATCTCAGAGATTTATAGCAGAAGACTATGGCACATACACGTAATGGAATGCTATGCAGCACTAAAGAATAATGTTGTTATGTGCCATCGAGTTGGACCCAACTCCCTGCGACCCCTCCTTGGGTTTCCCAGGCAGTATCACTATGGAAGTAGATTGCCCAGCCTTCCTTCCGCAGAGTGGCTGGTGGGTTTGAACCACCAGCCTTCTGGTTAGCAGTCAAGTGCTTTAGGCACTATGCCACCAAAGCTCCCAAAGAGTAATGTCGAGTCTGCAAAACACCTCATAATATGGATGAACTTGGAGGACATTATGCTGAGTGAAATAAGTCAATCACAGAAGGACAAATACAGTATTAGTTCGTTGTTGTGGAAAGTCAAGGAAAGGTTTATATACGGAGGGAAACTTTCTTTGTTGGTTGCCAGCGGTGGGAGGGGAGGGGAGGGAACACTGCAAAAAGAAAGCATTGACCCATGTCACTTTAGTTTTGTGTATTTCACTGTACATAAATTATATTTCAATAAAATGCATTTAAAAAAAAAAAAAAAAAAAAACTAGATTGCCCCATTTTCCTTCCGTAGAGCAAGCTGGTGGATTTTAACTGCCAAACTTCTGGTTAGCAGTCAGATGCCTTAGGCATTGCACCACCTGAGCTCCTTTCTGCACATTGCAACAACAACAACAAAAAAAAAACCACTGCCATCAAGAAGATTCCAACTCATAGCAACCCCCACTGGGTTTCCAAGGTGGTAAATCTATGGAAGTAGATTGCCCAGTCTTGCTTCTGCGGAGTGGCTGGTGGGTTTGACCCACCAACCTTCTGGTTAGCAGTCAGATGCTTTAGGCACTGTGCTACCAGAGCTCTGACCCCCGAATCTCTGTCTCCAGAGCTGGGGTTTGTCCTGAGCTCTCCTGCTGGAAATCATCAGCTGGATGCTTTCCAGTCATCTCAGTCAAAAGCTGCAAATCAACCTCATTGTCTCCCAGTTCCCTCTTCTCTTCCTAGGTTTCTGTCTTGGTTAATGGTACTACCCACATCAGAACCCAGGTGTAAAAAGGACATTGGGGCAGCATCCTGTGACCTTCTCTAACTTACAACCGGGAGGGAGACAGCAGCAACATCTGGCCAAGGTTTATTTCTATGAGGCCAGACATGCTACCACCCTTCAGCCTTTTTACCAATTCTGACACCAACCATCCCTCCCACAGCACTCTTTACTTCTCTGTTGGGTTTGATAATTTGTTGCAGTGACCACAAAGAACAATATTCTCAGTTATGAGATTTATTAGTGAAGTAACAGGTTCAGGAATGTTCAGGATCCAATTCTTTAATTAAGACAGCTTCCCCTCGGCCATGCCCAAAGGCACACTCTCTTTGGCCCTTGCCTCTCGGCCTGACCTCTGCCCTGCTGGAGCAAGTGTCACAAAGCTCCTTTAGCTCTGCCAGTAGGTGCATTCCAATCCACCAGCGAGCCTCCTGCCCAAAGGCACTCAGCTTTCTTGCTCCATGGGCCAGCAAGCCTGCCACTCTGTCTCTTGATTCTGCTGCCGCTGTTGCTGCCACTGTCTTTCTTCCATCTTTCTGCCAGTTCTCTGCCATCTCAGCACAGGTATCTCGGATCCAAGGACATACTCCACTCCTGGTTGCTGTGTCTTGATCGTAGTGAGATTCCCCCTTTCTGCCTTTGGGATGGCTCATTTTAAGCTAATTGGATGATAAAACTGACCAATCCCTATATTAGGGTTCCATATACCTTATTTGCATGGTCCCACCCCCACAAGGGCACCCTATTTACATTACTAATAAACTGTCTAATCCCCTTGATAGACCTCAAGCACCTCACATTTAAATAGTTCCACCCATTTATCTGGTCGGAGTCACAAAGACCATGGCCAGAAGAGCCATACCAAGTAATTCAGTGCACCACACCAGGAGTCTCATAGACTCCTGTTCTTTTTCTCCTTACTCCAGTCCAATTAGTCACCAAGTCTCAGCAATTCTGCCTTATTGATATCTCAGATATGCATACTCCTCTTGTCTCTACCATTTCTTGAACTGCCATTTCCTCAGTTCAAACCCCAAACATCTATCTCTTACCTGAATTATTATAATAATCTTACTTATGGTGTGTTCTCCCACCGATCTTCTATACTGTTGCTGTCAAAATTACAAATACATTTGACCATGTCATCCCCTTGCTTGAAACTCTTCCATATGTGGAGTGTACTGCCAACACTGTCACATGATCCCTCATGTTCTGGACCTTCCCCAGACTGTGTCCCCCACACTTTGTTCCTGTGTCATTCTGTGTGCTCCAGACATACCAGACTATGAGCAGTGTCCCCAAATGCCAGGCCATTGGACATGCTATTCTCTTTGCTTGGAATGACATTCCATTCCCCAGAAAGCTCTTATCCTTCATACTTCTATTACGAATTACTTCCTCATCTCTGAACTGTAAATGTGGAAGTTGTTAATGTTGATGAATGTCTTGTTTATGTTTTCACCACGGTAAAAGTAAAAAAATCAAATAAAATAATTACTTCCTTGGTGCCTTCTCCCTCCAAGCTGCTCTTCCACTGTTCCACCATCAAGTAGGATGCATTTGTCCATTATTGCACTTATCACAGTATCTTGTAATGTGTGCCAAGCCCTGTTGCAGGCCGTTGAAGAGTGTAGATTAACTAGATAGACAAGATCTCTGCCTTCAAGTTGCTTACATTCTAGTGGGAAAGACAGGCAAGAAATGCACACACAAATACTCAGGTCAGTGACAAATGCTATAAAGGAAAATAAAGGGGGTGGGGAACACTGCAAAAATAAATAATAAGAAAAAGAAAACAAAGTAGAGGGATAGACAGTGACAGGAGAGGGGCCCTTTTAGACAGGGTAGGGTGGTCAGGAAGGACAATTAAGTAGATCCTAAATGAAGTGAAGGAGCAAGACAGGCACATGCTAAGGAAACAGCATTTCAGCAGAGAAAACAGACTGTGGGTTGGAAGCATATTTGGTGCATTCCAGAGAGTGCAAGAAGGCAACCAGCCAGCATCAGTGGAACACTGATTAGCGCTAGTGATTAGCGGCGAGGGAGGAGAGGCAGTGGGACAAGCAGGCAGGGGGTCAGGGCAGGTGGGACCTTGGCACTCCCAGTAAGAATTTAATAAATTCACTTATAGGAACCCATTGGAGCATTATGGGTCATAGATTTATGTTTTTAAGAGATCACTGGGTGCTGTGCAGAAAATAGACTGTAAAGATGCAAACTAACAAGCAGAGCAAGCACATAGGAAGCAGCTGCAGTAGTGTCTGTGAGACTATGATGTAGAAGTGGTAAGAACATGTCATTTCATTATGTGTTTAAAAAGTAGAGCTGTTGAGACTTAGTGATGATATAAATGGAATGAGAGAAAAAGCAGTCAAAGATGGCTCTGCAATTTGGGGCTTGAGCAGCTGAGTGAGAGTGCCTTTCACTAAGATGGTAAGCACTACAGACAGGAGGGAAAGCCAAGAATTCCTTTTGAACATGAGAAGTTTGAGGCGCTTAATGGATGTCTAGGTAGAGATGTTAGGGAGGCTGTTGTACATACCAGTTTGGAGCTCAGAGGAAGAACAGGCTGGAGGTGAAACTTTGTGAGTCATTAATGTAAATCCATGGGACTGGTGGAGTTTCTCTCACGTTGCCAGTGATTTCCCTGTAGTCACCTGAGGCTTTCCATTACAGGTCAGACACTTTGACAGTCCCTACCTGGTATACCACGAGAAGATCAAAACTAGTCGAGTGTTCATTCGAGACTGCAGCATGGTGTCTGTGTACCCACTGGTCTTGTTTGGAGGAGGCCAAGTGAATGTACAGCTTCAGAGGGGAGAGTTTGTGGTCTCCTTGGATGATGGCTGGATCCGTTTTGCAGCTGCCTCCCATCAGGTAAAGGGATAATTTGTCTGTGAGATTCAGCCCACAGTAGATTTTTTTTTTTTTTTTTTTTTTTTTTTTTTTTTATTAGGATTTGGGTGAAGATTTACAGAGTAAATTCACTTTTCATACAGCAGTTTACATATACTTTGTCTCATGTCATTGACCAAAATTTACAATGCAGCAGCTCCCCTCCCACTTCCTCCCCATAGTTACCTCCTCCCAGTGTCCATCCCTTCATACTCTTCTGCACCCTGAGCTATCTCCCTGTGCATAAGTAGCCCTTCCTTCTCCCATGATTGTTCTCTCCAGGGCGTGTGTCTACTTGAGGTAAATGTTTAAGTCACATGCCTGTACTTTGTTTGGCTGGAAACCACAGTTGTGGGTTCAATTCCAGACCTGAAGGGCAGCTAGGGGCCATAGTCTCAGTGGTTACACCAGGCTCTATTGGACCAGCAAACCTGGTCCCCATCTTCTTTTTTTTTTTTTTTTGCCTCCAAATGATTTTGAGTTTTGTACCACATTGTTCTCCCTCTTTATGCAGGATCTCCTACATCCCTTCCAAGTGGATGGCAGTGGTAGCTGGGCACCATCTAGTTCTTCTGGTCTCATAGTTGTATAGGCTGCAGATCGGATGGTGTACCAGTCACTAGGACTGATTGTTTCCATTAATTTTGGTTTTCTTCTTTCTTCTTGACGAGGAGAGACCCATTGTTGCATCTAGATGGCAGCTTCCTAGCTTTTAAGGTCCCAGTCGCTACTCGCCAAAGTAGTAGGTGGAACAATGTTTTGTATAGTAGTTATGCCAATTGAGCTTGATGTCCCCCCACAGTGGATTTTGATAATATGAAGCATAGGGCATTCCTTTAGGTGTCCAGGACAGCAGAGCTAACAAGCTAATGAAGAATGGTAAGGTTTCAACAGGAGGCTAATTAAGAGTGTGGCTGAAGTATGTCCCCACCCTGTACACTGGAAGCACACCAGAGCTCAGGGCACTTGATGTGGCAGGTTCAGGACAGAAGTTGTAATGTTAATATCACACAAATAATACATGTTCACCAAAGAAAAATCAGAAGATACAGATAAGCAGAAATAAATAAATAATCCTGATTTCACTGCCATTTACAAAAAGGGATGATGGATGTGAACCTAGGCTTTGTTTCCTATTATTCTCAGGTTTCTGTTACTCACCACTTAAGTCTCTAGGAGCAATATGTAAGGGGGAATATATATTGAAGAAAGGAACCCTGGTGATACAGTGGTTAAGCACTTGGCTGCTAACTAAAAGTATAGCATTTTGAACCCGCCAGCAGCTCTGTGGGAGAAAGACGTGTCAATCTGCTTCTATAAAGATTACAGCCTTGGAAACCCTATGAGGCAGTTCTACTCTGTCCTCTAGTGTCTCTGTAAGTCAGAATTGACTCAGCGGAATGGACTTGGTTTTTTGTTTTGTTTTTTGCATGTGTCGAAGAAATAAAAATTCATTTTAACCTTTCCATCTGTTAGAATGCTTATGTTGCAAGAAACAGAAACAGTACCTTAAACATGAAAGGAAATTTATTGGCCTTTTGACTTAAGTAGGGAGTAACAGAGCCCTGAGAATGATAGGAAACGAAGCCTAGGTTCACACTGATCATCACTTTTTTTAAAGATTAGAATAGTGGTGTACAATAGAAATATAATGCAAACCACATATGCAATTGTCTAGTAGCCACCTTTAAGAAAGTAAAAAGAAATAGGTAAATTTAATTTTAATAAATTTCATTTAGCCTGGTACATCCAACTGTTTTAAAAATTTTAACATGCAACCAATGTATAAAACTTGTTGTTGTTACCATCAAGTCGGACCCGACTCATAGCAACCCCTTCTTGGGTTTCCGAGGCAGTGGAAGTAGATTGCCCCATCTTCCTTCCGAGGAGTGGCTGATGGGTTTGAACCACCAGTCTTCTGGTTAGCAGTCAAGTGCCTTAGGCACTACGTTACCAGAACTCCTGTATAAAACTTACTGAGATATTTATATTCTCTTTTTATACTAAATCTTTAAACTATGAAATGTGTATCATACTCACAGCACATACCAGTTTGGACCAGCCATACTTTAGGTGCTCAACAGCCACATGTGGCTGCTGTACTGGACAGTGCAGGTCAGAGGGCCAGGCAGGGCTGGCTTGACTCAACAGCTCAATAACAGCAACCACACTTTGGGAGCAAGATGGCTGCAGTAGATCCTGGCTTGACATCTGTGCAGCACACTGCCCAGGAGTAACAGAAGCCCTATTTCCTAAAAGCTCCATCAAATCTCCCTTCTAAACCAATTCCTTTGGTTAAGGGAGCATCATGGACTGATTACTAAGGTCTGGATTACCTGAGCCATTCACTCTGGCAAGAACATGTTTGAATTAGATCAGGGTCCAAACTGTGGTTGGGGCACATTGGGGGAGGGACAGGCAAATGTTAGGAAGACATCTGTAGTCTGCAACAACATCAGCATAAGCAAAATGTCATTCAAAGTGCAGAGCTACTCCCTCTACAAAAACACAAAATGTATCCAAAAGCCAAAGAGATTTTTTTAGTATCTGCTACTTTTTTTTGTGTGTGTGTGATTTGGGTAAAAGTTTACAGAGCAAATTCACTTTCCATATAGTAGTTCACATACACTTTGTCTCATGCCATTGATTACAATTTCCCACAATGCAACAGCTCCCCTCCCACTTCCACACCTCTTCGCTGTGTCCTTCCCTCTCATGCACTCCTGCCCTCTGAGCTGTCTCCCTGTGCATACACAGCCCTTCTATTGTCCCATGATTATTCTCTCCAAAGAGTGTATCTACCTAATGTAAATTGGTAGATACACTAATGTAAATGTACACTAATATAAATGCTCAGCTCATACCTGTCTTTTGTTTGGCTGAAAGCAACAGGTGTGGGTTCAATTCCAGACCTGAAGGGCAGCTAGGGGCCATAGTCTCAGTGGTTTCATCAGGCTCTATCAGACCAGCAAACCTGGTCCCTTTCCGCCCCCCCCCCAACTGATTTTGAGTTTTGTCCACACTGTTCTCCCACTCTATCCAGGATCTCCTCCATAGATCCCTCCCTGAGAGGTTGACAGTGGTAGCCAGGCACCATCTAGTTCTTATGGTTTCACAGGCATATAGGCTGAGGATCACATGGTTACCAGTCACTTGGACTAATTGTTTTCATTAATCTTTGGTTTTCTTCACTCTTATTTGCTCTGAATGAGGAGAGACCCATCGTTGATCTAGATGGCCACTTGCAAGCTTTTAAGACCCCAGTCGCTATTCACCAAAGTAGTATCTACTACTTTTAATTTCTCATTTTTCTGCTTTTCTTTCAGAGCATATAGTAAAAGTTGAGCATGGTTTAGTGAGGAGAATATGACTGAAAAGCCGTATTTCCAAATTTCATCTTTTCCTTAAATGAGATGTGATAAAGGAACCCACTCATAATTGGACTCCATTCCGTATATTACAGAACTGCCAGGGAGTGAGCATTCCAATATTTGCATCAAGAAATTTTCCAAAGTGTGTTCGGTTTTTTTTTTTTTTTCCTTCTCCTTAATGGGGTTACATTAACACCAGAAGTATAGGCTAATAATAATCATAATCAGAGCATTTCCCTCTAATAGCCTTTTTTCCCCTGTGGCCCTGAGTGCTGCTTATATTTTGGCTTTCATTTCAGGTGGCTGAATTAGTAAAGGAACTTCGTGGTGAACTTGACCAGCTCCTCCAGGATAAAATAAAAAATCCGAGCATGGATCTGTGTACATGTCCTCGAGGATCCCGGATCATCAGCATGATCGTGAAACTTGTCACTACACAGTAGAGGCCAGCCTTAGAGGAATGCTTACTGCTCACCTGCTCCTCGCTGGCCTGAGATAAAACATCAGCACCTCTACCTCCAACTAGAGACCTGCGCTGGGGCAGCCCCATGGGAGGAGCCCAGCAGACACAGTGCTGAGTCAGCAGAGGCACTACAGACCGAGGGAAACACTCAGACTCAGGATTTCTCACAAAGCAGTGGGCCCTTGGCAGAGTTTGGAGCACCAGTGATGAGACTGTCTAAACCCAGCCTGTTTATCTCTGTGACTGTCCTGAAGAGAAGGAAATTTACCAGATAACACAAAAGTGAATGTTAAATGCGATTCTGTTTAATCTTTGTGTTATTTTTCTCCTGCTTTTTACTAGGGTGGCAGGGGCATGAGGGGAAATACCTGTTGTTTTGTCATAAAGGCTTAAGTGAGAGAAGTCAGAAAAGAGAAAAAAACTAGATCTATATACTTGAGGGGGGGAATCATGTGAGAAAGAAAAAGAAAAATATCATTTTATTGGCTACTGACTAGACTTGATTTTTGAAGGATTTTTAGTTTTATTCCTTAAATATCAGTGTAAAAAAATGTATTGAGTTTTGTTGTGGTATTATAATGTGAGCTGGTCTCCTCTTAGAAGCAGGACAGTCTTGAGTATCTTCATTCTCTTTAGTTGTCCATTTAGGTATCTTCACCCTCTCTTGTGCACTCACAATGCCCAGATTTCACAATACCCACAAGGGAATTTTAATGGCATTCTCCAAAGCAAAGTTGGCTCAGTTGAGATAAAAAAGTTTATCATGCTAGTATCAGATTTACAACCATAACAATGCCTTCCATGAGACTGTTGATTTTCAACCATACCTAGGTTAATGGGACTCTAGTATTTTGGGTAGTACATTCAGTTAAGCCTTTGGCTGCTAGCTGAAAGGTTGGAGGTTCACGTCCACCCAGAGGCATCTTGGAAAAAAGCCCTGGTGATCTGCTTCCAGATAATCAGCCATTGAAAACCCTGTGGAGCACAGTTCTGCTCTGACACACCTGGAGTCACCATGAGTAGGAATCATCTAGACAGGTTTTTGGTTTTAGCATTTTGAAAAAATAATAATTCATTTATGTTTTTCCCCAGACATTTATCAGGAAGGATCCCAAAGAGCAGAGAGGAAGAAATAGTCTAATATTTGTCTAGGCCTCAGGTGGGGAGTTAGTATAGGTTTCATACTATATCCAGACTCAATACAAATTGATCAACAGAGTCACCTCAGTGATGGGTGTACATTTTGCAAAGTATTATTTTAAGTTTTCACGACATCTCCTAGTGTGTTTAAGCTTCAATAATGGTTGAATAGCTTAGACTCTAAGCAGTATTTTTAAAAATCATCAATTCATGTCATCACTTTTTAAAAAGTAGACATATATACAGGATACACAGCATTCATGTTCTGACTTGCTACTGAAACAAGGCTCACATCACTAGATTGATTAGACTGAGACCTTTAGGGGAAATGAAGGAGAAAACAGCCTTAACTCCCCAAGAGAGTTGTTTTTTTGACTCTTGGTGCTATAGTAGAGCTGTTGCTGCCCGAGGCAGAGCCTTCTGCTCGAGGGGACCTGCAGCCTTAACTGAGGTTTGCAGCAGAGCATACAGCTGGGCAGTGGTTAACAACGAAACTTTCATCCAGAGTCCTGAAAAGTTGCTCCCCTCAGGGAAGCCAGTTCTTGGCTTGGTCACTTCCAGCCATGTACAAATGCACAAATACTATCATTTTATAAAGTGCCAGAATGTGAAAAGCATTGGAAGCCTTGACTTCAGACACTGAGTAAGAAAATACACACTCAAACAAAACTTCTTAAAATTATGAAGAAACAAGATTATTCCTTTACAATTCAAGATCAGAATGCAATCTAGCATTTCTAAGCCCCAATAAGATGGTTCATATTTAATGTAATTTATGGAGAGCTAAATAGTGAATGGTTTCTTAAATATTTGTTTTACTGCAATCTAGCTAGGAAACTTAATAAAGTACTTGGTACTAAATTAGTCTTCAGTGCTGTTTTGTATCACATCTCTGGAAAGTTCTCAAGAAAGAGAATAGAAGCATTCTCATAGAAGTGGTTATGGGTTGACAAAGTATTAGCTCTGTCTTCTTCCTCCTTCACTTCCATATCTGATTATTGCAGCTCAAACTCTGACAAGTAATGAACTGTGCTCTTTATCCTACCATTCCATTTTCTGAGGTCTAGATTTAAATAATATATGTTAAGTATAGCATGTTATCTTTAGGTATATGCTAAGTGTTCATTTTCCTTCCTTCTTAGGTGTTCTGGTTACCTAGTGCCACTCTGACAGGAAACATACCACAAATGGGATGGCCATAACAAACAGGAGTTTATTAAATTTGGAGGCTTTAAGTCCAAGTTCAAAGTGCCAGTCTCTAGGGTCTGGGTAAAAGCCCCTCAACCTTGGGGTCCAGCTTTGCCTCCTGCTCCTGGCCTACTGGAGCTGGAGGCATTTCTTCACTCAGACAGCTGTTGGCTGCTGAGGCTGAGAAGCCTCAATGTTGACAAGTAAAAAGGCACAGTCCTAATGTTACCAGTCCACATGGCAGGCCATTAACTTAAGTCCACTGTAAGTCCCAAGGTTGGCAGAGCATAGCAGGCTGCTGAGCAACGCATGGCTAAATGCCGGGTCCAAGCGTGCCATAGGCTAGAGACCATTCTCAAAGCTTCTCCTTATATACAGGAAGCAGACCATATACCCAAAGGCTCAGCTGCTCCCAGTAGATTCTACCATGGAGTTCATTACCAGTCTCATCATAGGGAATACTACATCCAGCTGCGCAGCCAATCAACCAGGCCTAGCCAAGTTGACATACAAACATAACCATCACACTAGGCAAGAGTTTGAACATGTCCCTACAAGGTCATCATAAAATAATGAAAGTACTTTGTAAAATTAAAAACAGCACAGGTCAGGCATGTGTTCAATGGTGTGACCTTCAGATGCAGCCCAGGCTGACTTTGTGGGAACTCCACTCTATGTGGTGGTGTCTCTGTTGCTGGGCCTAGACCTGGTGAGCTTGGGCTCATACTCTTGAGGGCGTCTTGTTGGTGTCACCCATTTCCCACATAAATAGTGGATTCCTGAAGACAACAGGGTATATTCACACTGCCATTATTCTACACAAGCCTAGGCAGAGAGAGGCTGGCTGTCCTAAATCACACTGAAATTAAACATAATTCTTTTGGCTTTTCCAAAAAAATATGAAGGGGAAACTTTGTTTAAAATACTCAGCCAGTTAATAAATACAAGGTTAATTGTTGTTTTCAGGTATTATATTTTTACTGTGAACCTGTGTCAGTCAATATTTTTTCACAATACAGTATCCATTTAATGGGTTTTGACCCATTGTCCAAACCAGCTGTCCATAGATGGATGGGTCTATTTCTGGGTTCTCAATTCTGTTCCACTGGCCTGTATGTCTATTATTGTACCAAGACCACACTGTTTTGACTACTGTGGCTGTATAGGAGGTTTTGAGATTGGGGAGTGTGAGACTTCCTACTTTGTTTTTCTTCTTCAGCAGTGCTTTGCTCATCCAAGGTCTCTTTCCTTTCCATATAAAGTTAGTGGATGGTTTTTCCATGTCCTTAAAGAATGCAATGGAATCTGGATCGGGATTGCATTGAATGTATCGATTGCTTTGGATAATATTGATATTTTCACAATATTTAGCCTTCATATCCATGAACATGGCATGTTCTTTCATTTATGTAGGTCTCTTATAGTTTCTTGTAGTAGCAAGTCTTCAACAATTTTCTCAGTGGTCCCCCACACACACTTCTTGGTCTGGAATTCCAATCAGGTGTATGTTATTTCTTTTCATGTCATCCCATATAACTCTTAAGTTTTCTTCATTTCTCTTAAATCTTTCTTCTGATTTTTCCTCATACAAGCTGGCATCAAGGGATTTGTCTTGTAGCTGAGAAATGCATTCTTCACCCATTTTGAGTCTACTCTTTTGTCTGTTGGCTGTCTTCTCCCTGCTTCTGTTTATGATTTCCCTAAGTTCTTGGAGCTCTGATGGTGTAGTGCCTAAGGCATTTGACTGCTATCCAGAAGACTGCTAATCAAACACACCAACCACTCCTTGGAAGGAAGATTGGGCAATCTACTTCCGTAGAGATTCTGCCTCAGAAACTCAAGGAGGGGGTTGCTGCGAGTCAGAAAAACAACTTGATGGCAGTGAGTTTGGTTTTTTTTGTTTTTTGTTTTTTAATTATTAAAGCTCTTGGATGGTCCTATATAGAGAGAGGACTTTATATATATATATATATATCTTACTTAGGGAGATTTCCTAATTCTTTAGTTTGGAAACTTATTTCTACTATCTTGTCCTGTTTTTAATTTGAAGTTTTCTGTTGTTGCCTAGACATTTTGAAGTTGTTGTCTTTGTTAGTTATATACTGATTTCTTTCGCCCTAGTTTTATGTTTTACTTTGTTTTAATATATCTGGAAGTAGCTTGGCTGTGCTGGGTGACTCTCCAGATTTCTCTGTGTTGATGGAGTAACTGGTGCAGGTCTGTGTTTATCATGAAAAGGCGTTGCAGTTGGGATGAGCGGTGTTGTCCACCATCTGTTGCTGATCCTGTGGTGCAAGAACTATTGGCGTTACTTGTCTGTTAGGTAAGGTGATTGGTATAGTAGCTATGGCTGACTAGTGGAGGGTTAATATATTCCTCCCATTGGATGAGGCAGGAGGGAAAAAAAAGGAAGGAAGGCAAGAAAAAGAAGAAGGGGGAAAAATTAAAAAAAAAAAAGTGGACAGGTGAAAGGGATGAAGTTTTGGTAAAAATGAAAGAAGATGAGGAGGTACAGGTGTCAATGATCAGATAGAAAGGAAGAAAAAATAGGTAAAAGGAAAATAGAAAAATTAAGGGAGAGTAGGGTAATTGAGGAGGTATTTTTCTAGTTATGTTCAGCCAGTGGCTCTGGGATCTGGTGGTTGTGGCAGA